TGGCACAAAAAAAGGAGGAGGAGGAGGAGGAAAAAGAAATTATCATTATAAATTTTTATATTAATATATTTTGTTTTTAAAAGTTGACAATAGTAACTCTTCCTGATGGGTGATAAAATCTGATCTCACCGAAAGGAAATAAAATATAATGGAAACAAGTGAAAGTGTTCTTTTTTAAACCAATATTTTAAAGACTCTTCCTTGGAAGATGACTTCATAGGGAAGGACAGAATAGCTTTGCTTGTTCTCTATTCCTAGAACTCTTCAACCGTGCTTGATATATCATGAGTATTATCTCATGAATATCTGTGAAGTAGATAGGTTAAAGAATAAAATTTAGCTGGGCGCTGGTGGCTCATGCCTGTAATCCTAGCTACTCAGGAGGCTGAGATCAGTTCAAAGCCAGCCCAGGCAAGGAAAGTTGTGAGACTCTTATCTCCAACTAACCACCAGAAAACCGGAAGTGGCACTGTGGCTCAAGTGGTAGAGCTCTCACCTTGAGCTGAAGAGTTGAGGGACAATGCCCAAGCCCATAGTTCAAGCCCCACAACTGACATAAATAAATAAATAAATAAATAAATAAATAGGCATTCATTAAGTATAATGAGAGAACAAAAATCAGGCTACTCCTATTCACAACAGCCAAGATATGGAAACAGCCAGATGCCCTACAATAGATAAATGGATCCAAAAACCGTGGTACCTATACACAATGGAATTTTACATAGCCACTAGAAAGAACAATATTATATCATTTGCAGGGAAATGGATGGACCTAGAACAAATCATGTTAAGTGAGGCAAACTGAGCTTAGAGAGACAAATGGCACATGTTTTCTCTCATATGCAGAAGCTAGATCTAAAATACACTGGAATATGATAAATTATGAAGGATTCTAGGCACTCACCCACAGTGAGACCAAAAGCTGCTACTTTTAGGGGAAAAACACAAAGGCGCAATGTCCCTGTGCCTCTTTAATTTATATAAAATTATATATATATATATATATATATATATATCAAAACAAAGCCCAAGATATGGAAAAAGAAATCTCTCTTTTTGTTGTTATTTCTATTTTCTTTTCTTTCTATCTGGTTTGTTCATATGTCTCCCTTTGGAAGGTTTTTGGGAAGGTATAAAACTCAAGGGGAAGGGGCTGGGAAGGTGGCTCAGTGGTTGAGTGCTTGCCTGGCATGCATGAGGCCCTGGGTTCAATACCACATAGCAGAAAAAGCCGGAAGTAGCACTGTGGCTCAAGTGGTAGAGTGCTAGCCTTGAGCTGAAGAACTGAGGGACAGCGCCCAGGCTCTGAGTTCAGGCCCCACGACTGACAAAAAGAAGAAGAAGAGGAGGAGGAGGAAGAAGAAGAACAACAACAACAACAACAACTCTAGGGGAGAAGCGTGAAAAAGTGCAGCAGTGGAGCTCACTGGACATTGGTGAAAATGAACTATTCAACTCATGGGTGGAGATGGGCGGGAGGGACTAGTCAAGAATGAGGGAAGTGATGACACTGTACAATGGAAATCTACTCTTAACCTGACTTCTGTAACTGTAATCCCTGTGTATATCACCTTTATAATAATAACAAAGTAATTTTTTTAAAAAAAACAGGCAGTCAATTGTTTGCTGACAATTCAAATCCTATCTCAGTAGATTAACTTGCTTGATACAGGGTGAATGAGTGGCAGAGTTTGCACTAGAATCTTCATTTCTCTTCCCTGCAATATTTGCTAAAATTGAAACCAGGTTTATAACACATACTCAAAGTCCAAGAGTCCCACCTTAGGTCTAGCCACGCAATCCCCGTAGGCCAAATAAAGAGACCTGGTAAGGAAAAGAGAAAGGAGATTTATTACATGACGCCATGGGAAAGAAGCACTTTGGTACATCCTCAAAGGTAGATATTGCCCTTGGTTTAAATAGGAAGAATTGAGGACAGAATTTCATGGTTCTGGGGATTTAACTCAGGGCCTTTGCACCTAGTAGATAGTAATTTCTCTAACACTTGAGCTACATTTTTTTTTTGTCAGTGTTGGAGCTTGAACTTGGGACCTGGGCACTGTCTCTGAGCTCTTTTTGTTCAAGGCTAGTACTCTACCACTTGAGCCACTGCACCAGTTCCAGTTTTCTGGTGATTAACTGGAGACAGGATTCTCACAGACTTTCCTGCCTGGGCCTGCCTTAAACCAGGATCCTCAGATTTCAACCTACTGAGTAGCTAGGATTACAGGTGTGAGCCATCAGCACCCAGCTGCACCACCTTTTCTGTTTATATTTTGTTTTTTTGAGACATGTTCTCCATAAATTTTCCAGATGTGGCCTTAAATTCAAGATCTTCCTACCTCTGCCCCCAGAGTAAACTATTTTCTTTAGGATATAAATGTTGTCTTTTTTAATAACTAATCTCTTGTCCTTGCATTCTGTGGGAAACTTCCATTTTAATAGAAAGTAATGGTAGTGGTGAAAGATGTTGTTTGGTGGCTCTGAGGCTTAAACTTGGGGCTTCATGTTTGCTTGATTTACTTTCCCATTGGGAGCTCGACCTCTTGAGTCATACCTCCAGGCTGGCCTTCTGCTTGTTTTTTTTTAATTTTTTATTGTTATTATAAAGGTGATGGTACAGAGTGGCTACAGTTATAGTAGACAGATAAAGAATACATTTCTTTTTGGACAATGTCATCCCTTCCTCCCCGCTCCTCCTACCTGCTTTTATAAGGAAAGGAATTTAGCAAACTTTTCTTCCTGAGCTAGCCTTGCATCATGATTCTCCAGATTTCAACTTTCTGAGTAGCTAGAAGTACAAAGCATGAGTCACATGAGCCACTGGCACCCAGCTTATTTTGTCTTTTGAAGACTTGGAATGTAACTAGACCTGTATCCCCAAAACTTGGCAATTGGAAAAATATCTTAATTATGATTGTCTTTCCCTTATCCGTGAGGGATTGGTTCCAGAAATTATATTTCTACCAAAATCTATGGATACTTAGCCAGGCACCAGTGGCTTATGCCCATAATTGTAGCTGTTGTCCACTCCAGCTCAAAATCTTATGGTTGTGCATATTTGGACAGCAGGCCTATAAAAATAGAAGAAATGGATGGATGAAAGACATATCATCTAACAGAAGTAATAGAGAAGGGAGGATTTTAATAAGAACAGCATGTTAAAGAAGAAATACTCCTCTGTTCAACTCTTTATTTCCATGTGAAGCCTGTTCATGTCACCAAGAACAAGCCCTAGGCATTGTCATGTAAAGCAGTATCAACCCCAACCTGTTTCTCTCACTGCAATTTTTCTGCATTATCCCAGATTCAGGAGTTGCTCATTCTGTAACTCTGTCTTTCTAAGACACACTGGATTTTAAAAAGTTGACACATTTAACCTCCATTAATCCTACCTGTTTTGCAGGAAAACATTTGACATATTTTAAGAAAAACATAACAAGTTGATTACCACCCAGCCTTTCCTATTGTTGTCCCCAAATTTTGTCCAGATTTTTCCTTAGTGGGCCATATTATCTTTCTGCATGTGCCATGATATAAAGAGAGTGGGGAGAGAGAGAGGGAGAGAGGGAGAAAAGCAGCATTGACCTACAGAAACAAGTGGGATAAAATTGGATCCCTGTGTGGCATCTTTGTTTTAGGAAAGGGTCTGTGAGGACAAGACAGGGAGCACAGGTACGTGGTATTTGGAACAGGCTCCTCTGCATAAAGTATAAAAGCCCCCCTCAAAGAAAACAGGTTCAGATGCTGAGCTTCAGGATAGATGATAATTGTCTAAAACAAGACAACAAGGTCAAATTGGCTGCTGAAAATGGATGTAGACACTAAAAAGTACCCACTGAATTTGATGATTTGAAAATACTAGAAATATCAGGAAGATCAGCCTGTGTGCTGACAAGAAAAAGTCACATAGCAGAAAATTGAGGTATGAACAAGATGAGAGTTAGTATACAGAAAAAGAAGAAACTACTCTTTAAGAAACTTCCAGAGGGGCTGGGGAGGTGGCTCAGTGGTAGAGCGCTTGCCTTGCATGCCTGAGGCCCTGGGTTTGATTCCTCAGCACCACAAAAGAAAAAAGCCAGAAGTGGTGCTGTGGCTCAAGTGGTAGAGCACTAGCCTTGAGCTGAAGAGCTGAGGGGCAGTGCCCAGGCCCAGAATTCAGACCCCATGACCGGACCCAAAAAAGAAAAAGAAACTTCCAGAGCTGGATGCCAATGGCTGGCACCTGTAATCTTAGCTAATTGGGAGGATGAGACCAGGAGGATCTTGGTTTCAGGCCAGCCCCAGCATAAATGCCAGACCTCTTTTCAACCAATAGCTGGGTGCAAATGTCATCCCAACTAACATAGGGATGATAGAGGTTCTAGGTCAGCCTGGGTGGAAAAGTTCACAAGACCCCATCTCAATGGAAAGAAACTGGGTGTGGTGGTGCATGCCTGCCATCACAGCTATGAAGAGGAGCTTTCATATGTGGATCATAGTCTAGGCACATGCCTGAGCAGGAAATGAGATCCTACCTCAAAAAGAAGGTCTAGAGACATGACTCAGTAGTAGATCACCTGCCTAGTAGGGGTTCTAAGTTGATACTTCAGTACCACCCAAGAAAGAAAGTTATGGCAGACAGTAATGACAGCAAATGGTGGAGGGTAGAAGGAAGCCTATGTGAGAAGGTGTCAGACTCGAGCATATCTCCCATTTCATGGTATCTAGCCAAGAAGGAGAATGTAAAGATGCCAGATTTGGTAACTACACATAAAGGCATATGCTTGATACAGTTTGTTTTCAATAAGGTGGGGTGGGTAAGATTGTGCCCGAGTAAAAAGATTGGCCTTGAACAGATACCTGCTGGCAAAAGAAAATGAACAAAAGGATATAGGAAAGCATTTTATCCACCAACTATCTGGAAGCTGGAGTGGCTGGGATGTCTCCTGTTTCCAGGGTTACAGACTGAGGCACATTCGATAGAGACAAGAGGATTTGACAACTAAGAAGTCACCATGACCTGTGCAAGGGAAATTGTTTGTGTCATTCAGCCAACAGGTGAACAGGGCACCAAACTGTGTAAGAAACTTGGAGTCTAGACTTAGCTCATCACCGAATAAGCTTTATAATCAAAGTACCATTTTGGCACTTCTCCAAAATAAAGGAGTTGAATGAAATGCAGGTTAAGGTCTTATCTAACCCGTTTTTTTTAAAACCACTGTGGACAAGGCACAAGGCTGGCCAAGATATAAAGATCCAAAAGAGGCAGGACACAACCCTCAAGGACACCATAGTCTCCACAAGTAAACAGATCCTACTAAAATCCCATCCTGGGGCTGGGAAGGTGGCTCAGTGGTAGAGCACTTGTCTTGCATGCATGAGGCCCTGGGTTCGATTCCTCAGCACCACATAAGCAAAAAGAAAAAAGCCAGAAGTGGCGCTGTAGCTTAAGTGGTAGAGTGCTAGCCTTGAGCTGAAGTGCTGAGGGACAGCACCCAGGCCCAGAGTTCAAGCCCCACAACCGGGCCCCCCCCCCCAAAAAAAAAGAAATCTTTAAAAAAATTAAATAAATAAAATAAAATCCCATCCTTCCTAAATCAAGGTCAGCTGAAATTTGTATTTTAGGGGAACTGCTAAGAGTAACTTCTGGTGTGATTTTTTTTAATTGCTCAGGGCCAAACTTAGCCCGAAAATGTCAAGATCTTTGACCACCTGGAAAAGTTATCTCTCAGCATGAGAAGTGCGAGAAAATAATGAGCCATCAATTAAATGAATTTGAAACCCATTCATTTGCATACTACGGATATATTGTTAGTCAGTACCCTGAGATATTTATCACAGCACATGAAATGGAAAGTTTCGATTGTATATGTTATCTTTTTTATGACAATATAGATTCTGCCAACTTTTGAGCCAGAAGAATAGAAAATACATTCATGCATAATGAGCTGTAGAAATTCAATGTTGAAAAGGATGTATTATTTTATCTGATACATCTTCCTGTCAACATGTTTTTTAGCATGTGGTCTTTTGTTCTATTCAGAATTTCCAGTTGTCTATTTGTACAGATTTTACATCTCCTACCACAAAGCTTAGAAATGTTGACAGCCTCTTCTTATACTCTCTACAACAATGTGAGGAGGAGGACATTTCTATTGCCTCTTTTTCTTCATAAAAATGTTCCCATGGTTAACTGTTCAGGTATCTTGTCCCTCTTTTTGAAAACACTGAGTTCCCAAAAGACATCTTTAACTCTGATTTAAATTGACAGTGCTACCAAAATAACAAAGGGTTCTGTTAGGAGTGTGGATTAATTTTGGAGGTGTTTTAGAATCATTGCACTCCATCATTATCAAAACCAAACCACCCAGCTGTCCCAATTACTAATTACTTATAACTAATTATTTATCCCATAACTAGTCTCAGGTCACCTTCTTCCCCCATAATCCTTGCTGCTCTAATTCTCTCACTGCCCTCTTGTGGGATGGAGTTGCTTCTTTCTTTCACTTCCCACTCACAGTTGTGCTCACCAGACGCAACCAAACAGTTAATTGATTATGGAATTTAAGGCCTAAGAGAGATCTGGTTACAAGTCTTTCTCCTACCACCTACTGCTATTGTAGCAATTGGCAATCAATTAATCAGAAGTTGAATGTATTTCCCTGTAAAGGAAAGATAACTAAAACCTGCCTGACCTACAAAAGATGTTGAGTTGCTATGAAGAAACACAATTGACACAAGAGTAATCGACACGAGAGTACTTCATAAACTTGCTGCGAGAGGGAAAGCAAAGTTCAGCACCCTGAATGCGGTCCTTACAAACCATGTGAGACCTTTCCTTCGGATCCTGGCCTGCATGTACCAGGGAGCCACAGTATTTATGCTCTAGTTGGCCTCTGGGAAAACATCTGACTGAGGTGGAGCCTCAAAAGTGCTAGCTTAAATTCAGGGACAGTTTCCAGGCCTTCATGACACAGGACTGGCACTAAATATGTATGAAGAAATGGACAAATTCTTAGAAGATAACCTTACTAAGACTGAATCACAAAGAAACAGAACATTTGACCAAATCAATAAAGAATGAGACTGATCCATCACAAAACGTCCAAGGGTTGGAGATGACTCTGTGATAAGAGTGCCAGCCAAGCAAGCACCAGGCCCTGAATTTAAACCCCCAGTATTACCACCCACAAAACCAAGACAAAGCCCAGAACCAGAACTATATGGCCTCATTGCTGAGCACTACCAAACATTTAAATAAGAACGAATACCGATTCTTCTTGAATTATTCCAAAATAAAGTTGAAGCAAAGGAAATTCTTTCAGATACATTCCATGAGGCCAGAATTTCTGTTATATGAAAGCAGACAAGCAAGAACACAAAAAAGAAACTTCTTTTGCAATTATGGCTGTGTAATGTTATATACACTAGGTATCTTGATGCGCACAAATCAATATAGTCCATAAGCATACATGCAAAAATACACAAAAAATGTCACAAGTTGTCTAATTCCAAACCTCTCTCTTACACTGTCTCGAAATTACTATTGGTGATTTACTCACACATCATCTAAACATCTTTGTTTAAATGTATTTATTATCATTGTAGACCCATTCACTGACTCCCCTTCCAACAGGTAAAATAGAAAAGCTGACTCACAAAGGGAATGAATACATTTAATGAAAATATCTACTTATCAGTTTTCTTTGGGGTATGACAAGATCCTTCCCCTGATCATTGTCATTTTAATGTTTCTCATTTGCTCTTCCTTTTCATACTTCCTTGTATTTAATGAAATTGTTATTTGTGATGTAAAGAACTGAGCAAAGGAATGGACGTTTTTTCACACCTGTAATCAATCCCCAGGCATTCAGGAGGGGAGGAAGGAGAGTTGCCAAGTTCCATCCAGTTTGGGATACACAGCAAGACCTCATCTCCAAACATTTAGTTCATTCATTCATTCCGGGAGAAAAGTATCCGTCCACACATACACAAGTTGGAAGGAGCCCAGGTCTAGCTCCCTCCTCCACTCCATTATTTTCCAATAGTCCGCGTGTGCTGCCTTTAACTATCAACTATTTGCTCCAAGTTGTGACAGAATCGCATGCCCCATCTCAAGAAGTTTGGGGTGAAAGTATCATTACAGGGGTAAAATACCGTCTTAATTCGCATCCTGACACCACAGATCTTAACATCACTCAGGGAAACTCAATACACACCGTGAAAGTCCTGCGAACTGTTTCAGGTAGGAGGGGTCCACAAGCTGCAGTCACGTGACCAGCAGTCGAGGTGGGGGGGGGTGCTGTAAGAACTGCACATGCGCAGTCAGTGTCTAGGCGCCCGCTAGGCCCCGCCCCACCGCCGCGGGCGTAAGAGACGTGTGACGCGTCGCCTGCGACCCGCGCCGGCCTAGTCCGGGCGCCTTCCAGGAGCCGGAGTCGGGAGTCGGAGACTTCGAGTGTGGAAAGCTCGGGGTCGCCGACCCCGCCGCGTGCCAGAAGCACGGAGGTGCAGGGTGTCCCCGAGAGTCCGGGGCCGGGCTCGGCGGGTGGCGTCCCGCGTCCCGGGGCCCCGGCCCCCGCGGCGGCCGCCGGCCTGGCCGCGGCCCCCGTGGCGGCGCCCGGCTCGCAGTTCACGCTGCTGGTGATGCGGCCGTGCGCGGGGCCCGACGAGGCCGAGGGCGGCCTGAGGCAGGCGCCGACCCCGGCCCCCGCGCGGGGCGCCGCCGGCCCCGGCCGGCCCCTCGGATACCTGTGCGAGGTGGCGGGCGAGGCGGAGGAGGAGGCGGCGGAGGACGACGCGGACTTGCTGGACACTTCCGACCCCCCCGGAGGAGGCGAAAGTACCGCCAGCCCCGAGGACCTGGAGGACGAGGACGCCCCCTCGGGGGGCGAGGGCGGCGGCGGCCGGAGGCGGGGCGGCGGCGCCAGCAAGACCTGCACCTACGAGGGCTGCCGCGAGACGACCAGCCAGGTGGCCAAGCAGCGCAAGCCGTGGATGTGCAAGAAGCACCGCAACAAGATGTACAAGGACAAGTACAAGAAGAAGAAGAGCGACCAGGCCCTGAACTGCGGCGGCGGGGCTGCCTCGGCCGGCGGCGCGGGCAGCGTCAAAGTGGAGGTACCCGCGCCCCGCTGGGGAGCCGGGGGAGGGAGGAAAACCCCACTGTGGCTGACCTCTCCTCCTCCCTCGCCCCTCCCCAAAACGCCATTTCCAGGACCTGCACCTGTGCTCTCAGAGGGGGGGAGGGATGCCTCGCTGAGCTAGTGGCTGGGCGGGGGGGGGGGGGGGGGGGGGGGTGTCTTCCTCCCCGAGAAGCTAATGGGAACCCTACGCGAAGCCTCCATTCTCCTGTGGGTCCTTGGAATAAGTGAATGAGTGTCATCCTGAAACACATCCGCCAAGCAGTCATGTCAAACAACTGTGATAGGGCTGAAAGGACATTTAATAAGTGATGGCTGTGATTCACCCTAGGTAGAGTTGGCAAAGGGACTATGGACCTGGATGAAATTGGTGCTTTGGAGAAAAGTAGCCTGTTCTCAGGATCCCTATTTCTAGTACTCTATAGTGCTTTGAATACCGAGTGCTTTGTACTCTCTGGTACTTAGGATAGTACTCTAGGAGTACTCTAGTACCTCCTCAACTTAAGTACTTTAGTACAATACTACTTGATACCTTGGTTTGTGCCTGTGTTTAGTAGCCCCGGGGTGGGGAGGGGGTGGAAGGGGGGGATGATTAACCATGAGGTGTCTCAGAAGACTTTTGAGTGTCTTGAGTTAAACTGTGTTGAAGATGCTCTAGTTCTCTGGAGTTGGAATTCTGGCAGCAAATCTCCATTCTATCATTTGCTGGTTTTGTGGCTTTGAACATGCTATTGACCTCTATCAAGTCATCTCACTCCAAGGTTGGTATTAAAATAATGCTTGGTGCTTAGGGTTGCTGTGAGAATGTGACATATTCCCTAAGTTAAGTATTTGCTTGGTGTCCAGCAGATAGTAAAAGTCAGTAAACCTTAGCCATTACTGTTGTCATTATTAGCAGTGTACTTCGAGATTGCTACACAAATTGCATCCTATGTGTTTTCACTTTAATAGAAGAATATAATCACTCAGTGCCAGAAAAATTGAATTTTGATAGTAGTGATCCAGAAATTAATGTTTAAAAGTGAAAGCTGTCCTAGGATGTTTTCTAAAAGTTTTAGGCTAAGCTTGAACAGCTAACCCATTGCTTAGTCTTAGATATTGTATATATTTATAAATGTACTAGCCTAAATATATCTGAAATCTACAGTCACCAACATACTGTGTTTAACTATATACACTAGGGTACTGGTTGACTTCTCTTTCACTTTTATTCTGTTTTTTTTTTTTTGGTCAATGCCTGGCGTGTTTAGGGTTTTTTAAATTATTATTGTTTAGGTTTGGACCATAATCCCAAATGTTGAAACCCTAAAAGACCAAAATATAATTCTGTAATATGCTATGTATTTTAATACATTTCTTTGATAAAAATATTTTATAGGTCACCTTAGGTGGTAAAATAAGCAATCATACAAGTACTTTGTAAGCTTAAACACAGGTATACCAACAACAATTACACAAGCATAATAGTTTTGACCAGATGAGTTGATAAAGTAGGTGGAAAAATTTATAGATTCATATGGTTGGTAATTGTATACACTCAGTTTTCTAATTGTGGTTATCTGAAATACAGTAACATGATCTTGAGTATATAGGGGAGCTCAATCAGAAACCAAGCTGGATGTAGAATGCTTGCCTAATATGAGCAAGGTCCTGATTCAATCCCTAGAACCAACAACCAAAGAACAGAAAAGAGGCTGAGGATGTAGTTCAGTGATAAGAGTATTTATCTAGCATGGGAAAGGACTTGGGTGAGGAGAAAAACTGAGGTGCATCAACACCACCTATGGAGTCACCCGAAGGGCTGGGATCTTATTTTATCTTTACCAAATGAAGATGTACAAAAAGGACATCATTTAATAAGGAAAGTCAACATTTTTAAGTGCTAACATAATTGTGCAAAGAACACAACGTTGCACAAATTGAATGTTAGGATAATGAACTTTCACATAGTCAAAAATCTCAAAAAAAGACCTAATACATTCAGAATTGTCTAAACATCCTTACACAGTTACAAAAATGACATATAGCACAGTAAATTGTAAAATTTAATGCTGGTTGTTTTGCTTAGTTCTGAAGTAACTAGGATTCTCAGGTGAAAAGCACAGTAGTTTGTTCAAAACAAAACAATGCCTCAAAAGTCTGTGTCATAGGACAAGAAGTGTTGAAAGTTGTTTGTTTTTTTTTTAAGGGAATCTCAACATTTTACAAGTTTGGGCCATATGACTCAAGGTTATTTCTACTATACAAGGTTATTTCCACTATACAAGGTTATTCCACTATATGGTTTCTGTGGTATTAACTTTCTGAGGCTTGGGTAATATAGGGACTCCCCAACCAAGGCCTTGCACACATAAAATTAAACTTTATGGGACGAAGAGGAAGAATTTGTGTGTGTGTTTTGTGGATACTAGCATCTTTACATTTTGAGGCCTAAAATTTTTAAGGATAGAACACTTTCATAATAACATTTCGCTTAACTTTTCATAATAAAAGAAGCAAATGGGATCATTTAGTGCATTGAAATGCTGGCATAGAAAAGGCCAAGAGGAAAAACAGCCTAGATCATAAATAGCCTAAATAGCATGGAAACTAAATTCCTATAAAGCATTGCTTCATGATAAAATATTTTATAGTTGTATTTTTATATTAAGAATTTGGGTGCCCAGGATGCAATGCAGAAGTAAATGCTTAGCATATACAAGGTCCTAGATTCAATCCCCACCACCTCCCCCATCAGTTTTTGTTTTGGATGTGGTTATTTTATTTGAATGTAGCAGACTATTGCAATGAACTAGGATAATACTTAGCTAGGCCAGAAAAGGTGTTTTAAGTACTTTTCTATCTGGTAAGTGGGAATACACATTAGATAGTAGGTGTTCCTGATTATAGGGGGCAGGGATCATGCATGTGTGTGCGCCAGTACTGAGACTTAACCTTAAGGCCTTGAGCTCTTGTTTAGCTTTTTCTGCTCAAGGCTGGCTCTCTATCACTGGAACTGAACTTCCACTTCCAGATAGATAGATAGATAGAATATAAAATTAGCTATGCTTATTAGAAAGGTGATTTACAGAGGGGTTATAGTTTTCGTAAGTCAGGGAATGAGTACATTTCTTTTTGGACAATATCACTCCTTTGTTGCTGTCTTCAACTTTGTCCTTTTACTTCCTTCTGACTTTTTGCTGTTCAGTTGTCTGCCTGGACTGGCTTTGAACCGTAATCCTCAAATCTCAGTCTCTTGAGTAGCTAGGATTACTGTGTGAGCCACCAGCACCCAGCTTTTTGGGTTTTGATAAGATAACTGTTTTGTCTGTGCTAACAGTGCTTACTGGCCTTTTGCAGCTAGTTTACTATATTCTTCCTCTACTTCCAAATTCTGAAAGTTTTGTTTAGCATTTGCTTCTTTAATATTTTACTGGCCCTCTATCTGGTTGTGAATTGGCAAAAAAAAAAAAAAAAATTGATCCATATGTCTTGTTAGCAATGTGTACATTGCCTCTGAGTTTATATATTTCATCAAAGGTGTGCAGATGCTGTATTTTGGCCTAGATCATATACAGGGAGACGGTTTCGTTCCTCTTTTCTTTTTTCCTAGTATTCAAAATAGCTCACAAGTTACTCTTCACCATCATCCCCACCTTTGCCCAGTATCAATGTGAGGCCCTTTGAGAGACTAAAGAACTCGGGTTGAAACCCTGGGAGAGAAGAAGTGTTACCTAAAATAACTCCCAGCACCTCCCCTATGCCTTAGGTAGAGGCATTCCCAAAGTTTCACAGTAATGTGGCAGAGGGAGAGAAGCAAGACTTGTTCACAACTTCATTGCAGCCCTATAACCATGGGTTATCATAGTTACAATGTTAACTTAATCTCACTTGCATTTTTTATCATTTACCACAGGAAACTGCAGACAATATACTCTCCATTGTAAAACAAAGAACAGGATCTTTTGGGGATCGTCCTGCAAGACCTACTCTTTTAGAACAAGTGTTAAATCAGAAACGACTGGTATGTGTTGGCTTCTGGTTACAAATCTATTAGTGAAAATTATTTGTCATAAGTGGAACTTAGATTCTCAAGGTTCTGGAACTTTTTAGGTGGCTACCAGAATTGAATCATGTCTAACTTTACCACTACAGTCTACCATCCCAAATCCATTCATGATCTCTGGGACTGTAACTGCAGTTACACCTATAACTCTTGTTTCTTCATTGATGAACCTTGCATATGTGAGCAAGATGCCATTTCCATACACACTTCCTTATATTGAATTCTGATATTCATAGAATAATGCTGCGGTATAACCAACCAATATTATAAAGTTATCAGAAGTTGATCAGGAAAGAAGAGATTGTTCACTAAATACCAATAATTACATAGTAATTTGACACTTATACACCAGAATAAATTCCTAGTAAAAGTCCTTTAGAATTCCTTTAGAATAAAATTGAGACTTTATCTCAGAATTGTAGAGTAGGATTATCTTTAAGTAGTTTTACAGAGAAGTTTTGATTTAACTTACCCATTTATGTGTACAGTGCATCTTAATATTACCTCCTTCATTCCTCCCCCTCCATCTGTCCCAACCCCATCCATCCCTTTGAGTTACCTGGTTCCATTTTACAAATATTCATTGAGAGTTGTGATTATATTTACCCACCATTTCTCTCTCTAGAATGAGATTTATTTTTAGTTTTAAAGACAAATTCACAAAGAAAAGATGAACTTAATTATATAAAAAATGATTTCTGTAGTCAAAGATAGTGGTAGGGAGCCAGGCTCCAGTGGCTTGCACCCATAGTTCTAGCTCCTCAGTAGGCTGAAATCTGAGGAGTGCAGTTTGAAGCCAGCTGGGGAAGAAAGTCCCTGAGACTCAATCTCCAATAAACTACTCAGAAAAAGATGGAAAGGGCACTGTAGCTCAAGCGATAGAGCATTATTCTTGAGCACAAAGAGGCTCAGGGACAGCTCCCAGGCCCTGAGTTCCAGCCCCACTGGGGGATATATACATATACACATACATATACATATATATTCATATGATTCTATAAGGAAAAAAATTTGGCCTCAATACATTACAAAAGATAGAAGCAGAAGTACTACCGTTCAGGTCTATAGAAAAGTATTCAGTATCAGTAAAAATAATAGTAAACTGTAAGAAAAGCTTTCTTTAGTGATTATAATCAGTGACATTGAAATGGGCATTCCTGTGCTGGTACACACTGGTAGATAGAGCTTTAGAGATAGTTATCACTTTTGACCAGAAATTAATGTAAAGCTATCTGCAGAAGTAGATCCTATATATAGATAAAGTTAAAAACATGGACACTGGCAGAAATATATTCATCTTAAGTAATGAATATTTGAAACAACCTAAATAAATATACAGTAGTCTTACAACAACCAATGAATTATTGTGCATTTACTTAATAGGACATTGGCAGTCTTTACAAATCATTTTTAATTAAATTTGATTGTTTAATAGTTTAGATAACTTTAAATAATCATTTAAGAATTATTTTAAAATCAATATTTATTGATACCACTTCCAATTATTTTTGGTGTATTTTCTTTTTAATCTTCTTTGGCTCTTTTACGAAGTTATTATAAAGGAGATGTACAGAGGAGTTACAGTTACATAAGTCAGGTAATGAGTACATTTCTTTTTTAACAATGTCCCCCTCTTCCCTTGCTCTGTTTCCAATTTTTTTAATATTTTAAGAATGGGGTTAGAGTATATTTTTGTTATATACTTATACAACTATTTTATTATTGTAAAAACACATTACCCATAGACTATTATATTTATTATCTGATGCTAGCCATTTAAAAACACTAAATATAGAAAAAAAATGTATTGGTGTTTTAGAGCAACCAGTCTCTCCAATTTAATATATTCATTCATATATAGTTTTATTTATATGTATCTATATCTACCTATTTCAGATGTTGATAGTGATAGATTTATACCCATACACACCTATATACACACAAATACTTTTTTTTGTCAGTGTTGGGGCTTGAACTCAGGGTCTGGGTGTTGTTTCTGAGCACTTTTACTCAAGGCTAGCATTCTACCACTTTGAGCGCCACAGTGCCAGTTTGGATTTCCTGGTGGCTAATTGGAGATAAACAAGATAATTGGAGATAAGATTCCCTGCCTGGGCTGGCTTTGAACTGTAATTCTCAAATCTCAGGGCTGGCTTTGAGTTCAGGGCATGAGCCACCAAAACCCAGCTCACAAATACAAATTTTAACTTCTTCCTGAAGATTTGGATGAGAAGATTTTGAATTTCAGTACTGGTTCATATATGTGTACGAAAGTCATTTAACTTTTATTTTCACATCTGACCCCTTTTTTTTTTGTCTTGCTGTCATTTTAGACCATTATTGTTTACACTCATATGTTTGAAGAAAGTATGTTTACTGGAATGTAGAAAGCATTTCTTTTATGTGCAGACTTAGCATTGACACCAGGTTTCAAGCTATTGTTTGTAGGTGTTAGTATTATGATACTGTATAGCAAAATATTATCATTAATTTGCAGGGAGATAACGAGGGATGGGGTAACAATGATTAAAAACAAGTGTACTCATTACATAACTTATATAACTGTAACCCGCTGCTCATCCATCACCTTTTCAACAACAACAACAACAAAAAATAGTTTGCAGCTTGACTATAGTATGATTTATCACCCACAAAACTGAATTCAATTCAGACTTTTGTAACCATACTCTATCTTGCATAGGGACATATCAGAGTAATTCTGTCACGTAAATGTAATCACATAAGAGTAATGGTATCATTTTTTTTTCCATTTTTCTCTTTAAGTCATTACTAAGAAGTCCAGAAGTGGTGCAGTTTTTACAGAAACAGCAACAACTCCTAAATCAGCAAGTTTTGGAGCAAAGACAGCAGCAGTTTCCAGGAGCTTCAGTGTGAGGGAGTTTACCAAGAACTTCTGTGTGGTTTTGTTGTACAGTAATAGATGTACATATTTTTATACTAAAAGAATAATGAATAAGTTAGGCCAGTAGAACATGAACATTTTCTTGTAAATGTATGTGTGCATTTGGGGGTAAATAAGTATTATACTTTTTGCATCTAATCCTTCCATGAATTTTTTTTAATCAGTTTATCTTTCTAAAATAGTATTTACATTTTTTTAAATGTGTTACTCTTCAGTCAGTGTTACTGAAGATATTGAAAACAGTTACTTTCTGTGGAAGTCTTGAAGTTCATAGGTTATCTTGAATCATCTAGGTCTCTGGTTCTCATCAACAGGCAGTTGGAAGAGTGTGAGTGTTTTGGGGTTGTTGTAGTGAGCTTGAGGACACCTGGGTTTTAACCAGAGGGCCAGGAATACTAAGTGTTCAGCAGTGTCTGAAATAGTCCTACACAACTAAAAATTATCTCACCAACAATGTGAATAAATAGTGCGTCTCTTAAGGAACATTGATAACTACTTTTCACAATAATAGGCCATCAAAGTACCTGTCAGAGAGGGAAATCTATTTTATGCTGTAAGGAAAGCCATCATGCGTCACTGTGCATGTGTAAGGTGAAAGATGTGCTAATGAAGCCTAGGAGAGAGATGAATTACTTGGCTTCTAGGTTTCTGGTTGCCTATTAATGTTGCTCTCCTTTAGAGCAGACTCTTTTGTGTATGAATTTGTGAATAGTATGGGTGTACCTCAACTCACAAATTCCTGGACAGAATTGTTATTTATATTCATTTTTCACTAAAGCAAACAAACAAAAAAAGATGCTTTTCAAAAAGGAGATTCTGAAAAAAATACTCTAGCATTTTGTCAGTTTGATTTAAAATTGAACTATTTTAAGACTATTATTCCTAAGTAGTGTTACAAAGGATGGGAAATCTGGATACTTTCTTATTTTTTCCTAGGAAAATTTTAAGACAAACCTACAAGTAAGAATGATGAATTAAATGTCAAGAGAGTATATCCAATATTAGGATAATAAGTATGTGTTTCAGGATGAACTATATAAAACTGTGAGAATCCTGATTTTTAAGCTCTGAAATATGTATCATGTTAAAGTTAGTCATAGTTTTAAGAGATATTTATGGAGTTTGGCGCTGGTGGCTCACGCCTATAATCCTAACTACTCAAGATGCTGAGATCCAAGGATCAAAGTTCAAAGCCAGCCTGGGCAGGAAAGTCTGTGAGACTCTTATCTCCAATAAACTACTCAGAAAAAGCCAAAAGCAGTGCTGTGGCTCAAGTGGTACTGTGCTAGCCTTGAGCACAGAGAGGCTCAGGGACAGTACCCAGACCCTGAGTGGAAAGGAAGAAAGGATGGAAGGAAGGGAGGGAAAGAGAGAGAAAGAAAAACGGCTAAGAAAAAAATATGGGTTAAAAAAATGTTAGTCTTCATTTTTACATTTGTTTTATACTTGCATATCTATAGAAACACTTTTGCCAGAAAGATTTATTAAAATCCACATGCTGAACTTTGACTTGTCTAATTTCCCCTCTGTGCACCAGATACAGAGGTGTTCATTTAGTACTTGATACTGTACTTGGAGCAATGAGAGTTTAATTGAATCTGTAGAACTTTCACTTTTGTGACAACAAAAAATTCGGCTGATGCTTACTCAGATATAGTAAAAGAAAAAGAAAGGAGTTTAATAGGCAGTGATAGCTGAATGAAATGGGACTAATTTTTATGTAAGAACTTTGAGCTGATGAGTAGCAGTTAAATCCTTGTTATGCTCAGAATCTTCTCATGGGATACTTTTTCGAATTAAGTAGCTACTCATTTTTGGATTAGGGTAGGAGTAGAACAGTTCATCTCTTTGCCATGTGAGTTAGCAGCTTCTGATTTTCTTATCTGCTTCTTCAGTTGCAAGTAATTTTTGAATTAAAGCCTTCAGATTTTAAAACACTTAGCTTAAGAAAAAAAGACTTTCTCTGCTGGCCTTTTATGAGAAGCATGAGTAGTAAATTTTGGTAGGTAGAATGGTGAGCAGAAGCAGCGTGTGTAACTTCTAGATGGTGCCCTTCAAAAGGAAGCAATCAGCTCATTTTCCCCCTTCCTCCATGCAGCTGACTTGTGGCTCATCCATGGACAAAATATGATGGACATTCACAGGGAAAAGTGAATCTGTGAGATGAAAGCCTTGGATAGCTTAGCCTCAGATGTCTTCGGCCCACTATGGCAGAGAGAAATGCAATTTGTTGTTTTGACCCTGGTGATTATATCAGCCATGTGTTTTGTTTTTATTATAGCCAGCCCAGTCTATCTCCCAGATAATACTATAGGTTAAAGAATTGGCAAGTAACATCAATATCTTTGAAACCAGAAACTTTGCAGGACCATCTGCCATTATGTGATACTAATTCAAAGAATTCAAACTGCTGTGGCAGTAGGGAAGATAGATTATATGCTTGATGTAGGGGTCATTTAGTGAGAGAAGGGGATGAGGGAGTTCGTAGCCATACTAGAGCCCTGTGGGAGCTAGGACTGGATACAGAAGTATGAATGGATATTGTGTATGTGAAGAAAGCCTGATGCCAGCAGAAAATTTGTATGTGTTTGCCTTATCTTGTATTTGAATAAAGACACAGGATTTTCATGTTTGACCTTATACAATGATCCTGTCAGAAGACAGATGAGTGCCTGTGTAATCTTTTCTTACGGCTTCCAGTTATCTGACCCTTAGAATGTACCCTTTCATCTAGAACCAAAACTACCCAAGCTCACCCATTAAAAGTGGAGGATTAGGGGCTGGGAAGGTGGCTCAGTGGTAGAGAGCTTGCCTTGCATGCACGAGGCCCTGGGTTTGATTCCTCAGCACCACATAAGCAGAAAAGGCTGGAAGTGGCGCTGTGGCTCAACTCTTGGGTTTAATCAAATCTGTCCATTGAACCATTCCTCACCTCTTATTGCCATATAAAATACACACCCATATATACATATATATGACTATATGTAGATAGTTACATGAGTAATCCTTTTTCTGCTGTCAGTATCCACTGAATGGAATGGACAGGGGTTAAGAGAATACTTTCTGTAATAGACAAGTGTTAGAGGGGGCTGGGAAGGTGGCTCAGTGCTTGCCTTGCATGCATGAGGCTCTGGGTTCCATTCCTCAGCACTACATAAGCAGAAAAAGCCAGAAGTGTTGCTGTGGCTCAAGTGGTAGAGTGCCAGCCTTGAGCTGAAGAGCTGAGAGACAGTGCCTAGGCCCAGAGTTCAGGCCCCACGACCGACAAAAAAAGGAAGGGGGATTGCAGGGAAGAAATGAGGCCACCAGGGGCTTGAGATCTGTTGCAATGGAAGCGTAAGAAAAGTGAGAACATAGGAGATAGTTAAGCTAGGAAACTGGGCTGCAAAGGTAAGTAGTACTCATTACAATGAATTAGTAGCTGCTCCAGATTTTTATATGCTTTTTTTTTTTTTTTTGATCAGTCTTGGAGCTTGAACTCAGGGCCTAGGAACTGTTTTTGCTTAAGGCTACCACACTACCATTTTGAGCCATAGCACCACTCCTGTTTTTCTGGAGGTTCATTGGAGATAAGAGTCTCAGGGACTTTCCTGCCCAGGCTGGCTTTGAACTGGGATCCTCAGATCTCAGCCTCCTGAGTAGCGGGGATGACAGGCGTGAGCCACCAGCGCCCTTTATATGTGTATATTACTAAGTCAATGAAGTTAGTTCTTTACTCAGTTATAAGAACCTTCATACTTGTACTTGGAGAGTTTAGAGCAATTAATCCCAAAGGGTTTGATGATGGGAAAGCTAGTCATGGGGGGGGACTTATTTCAAGAAGCCCAGAGCATCCTGCTATCTCAGCCAGCAACAAGTATGGCAGAAACAAAATGACAAACAGCAAGAGAAGAGAAACAGTAGATGGTTTGTCCCAAAGTACCACAACAAAGAAAGCAACCAACCAGAAGTGGTTGGCATAGATACTGTTTGCCAACAATGATAAGTAGATTGTAAATTATGGATAAATAATCCAAAAGGATCCTAACATACTACTAGATATAATTGTATATGCATCCATATGTGTGTGCATAACTGGAAGTTGCTTTCATAAAGAAAAATGAGGCACTGGTGATTTGGAATAAGAGTATGAGGGTGGGAAGTCACCAAGTGACAATCTTTTATTGAAATAATCTTTTATACTATGAGAATTTTTACCATACACAACCAACATCTTCACATGTGCTTTCCTTACTTTAAATTTAAAAAACAAAACTTGTAAAACATGATTAGAAATTGGGCTAGGAAGGTGGCTCAGTGGTAGAGTGCTTGCCTTGCATGTATGAGGCCCTGGGTTCGATTCCTCAGCACCATATAAGCAGAAAAAAGCCGAAAGTGGCGCTGTGGCTGTCGGTTGTGGTGCCTGAACTCGGCCTGGGTGCTGTCCCTCAGCTCTTCAGCTCAAAGCTAGCACTCTACCACTTGGGCCACAGTGCCACTTCTGGCTTTTTCTGCTTATGTGATGCTGAGGAATGGAACCCAGGGCCTCATGCATGCAAGGCAAGCAAGCACTCTACCACTGAGCCACCTTCCCAGCCTCTTGCTTGGTTTTTTCACTTAAGGCAGACACTCTTACCACTTGAGCCACTCTCCACTTCCAGCTTTTTGCTAGTTACGTAGCTAGAAGAGTCTCCTGACTTTTCTGCCTAGGGTATCTTGGAACCTGGATGCTCACTGAGATCTTAGCCTTCTGAGTAGCAAGGAGTGACATTGCCTGGCTTATTGTCCATTTTTTAATAAACTTATGGAACAGGTTGAAATGATGGTTAGTTTGTAATTTCTTGTTTCTTTTAAACAGTATCATTTCATCAGTTTCTTGCTTCTCTTTAAACCCAAGGCCTTGTGCTTTCTAAGCAAGTGATCTATCCTTTGGGCACTGTTCCTGAGCTTTTGCTTGGGGCTAGCACTCTACCACTTTGAGCCACAGCTCCACTTATGGTTTTCTGGTAGTTCATAGATTTTCCTGCCCGGGCTGGCTTCAAATCACGATCCTTAGATCTCAGCCTCCTGAGTAGCTAGGATTATGGGAGTGTGCTACCCTCTTTATGCTTTAGTTCTTTTTCAGACAGGAGTATGAAATTTATGCCTGG